CGCATCATCCATATATATATATATTTAACAAGTATTCAAAGCCATTTCTTGACATATCTTCAGCAGTTTGTGAGGGATGCTAATGCTCATTTTGCTTGTATATGATAGGTATGAAGGTGTTTTTTAAATTCTGAGTCACTGTCTCTTTAAACATCAAAATGCATCCTAAAATTGGACAATTTTAAAAAAAAAGGCCAAGCAAACACCTACTAAAAACCATCATGGCAGCCAACTGATGGGAGTACCATGCTGCCTTAGCTCTGATGAAGGGCTCAGGACAAGATTCTTTACCCAGGAAAGACACCCATTGAATTTTTGTAGGCCTTTTGCTTGGGTAAGGACTGTAGGTTTAGGAGCCCTTGAAGTTTGATTTAATATTACTCTCTAAACCCCTTGTTTTCAAGGAGTTACTCAAAATCAGTGAGGCTAGAAGCTAAGTCTTCTTTAACCCGCCACTTTGTAAAACATTACTTTGTTTAAAAACATTTTTACTGGATTTAGCGTTCAGAAAAAAAATCTTACAGGACTGATGCAATTCATCAAAATGTTCTAAAATGCTCTAAAATGCTACATGTAGGCAATCTTTTATTAAATTTCTTTATTAAAAAAACCTAAATTATCAAGCTTTTTGTGTTGGTTTCTTTTTTTTTTTTTTTTTTCCTCTGAAGTACATAACATTATACAACAGTGTTAGAACTGGATAGCCAGTCTTTAATAAATCAATTACAGTATCTGACATCTGAAATGTACATTGAAAATCTTTGTTCTTTTAACAATTAAACAATATCAGCGCATAGATTGTGTCACCCACACACAGATCCCTTTAAGTGGTTTGTGCTTTTTTTTCTTGCCTTTTTTTTTTTTTTTTTTGACATTGCAAACTCTGTAATGAAAATGCCACAGTTTTGGCAGTGAACAACCAGAGGAATCCTCTGCTTGATTTATTTTAAATAAACAGTGATAAATAGCTCTTTTTTTTCTGTACAGAAATATTGGCTTCAAAAAGTCAGTGTATTGTACTCAGTAGAGCATGTTGAGTAATGCTACACCTTAAAAATTGGCTTTTTTCAGTTAGTGATGTTAAAAAATGCAAGCCTCTTTCTGGCTTGCTGCAGTTGTTTCTGTGTACCATAAGACTGTATTGCACAAAAAAAGTTCTTAAATACAGATATAATTTATGTTATTGGATTAAATATTGCAACAACTAAGTGGTAAGTGAAGCAGTTTTACCTTGCACATGCAGTGTGAGGATACACAAGGAGACTGTTCATAAAACTACAAATACATCATTGCAATCTTGACTGCAGTAGGGTGAAAGGAGTGTGAAACAAATCTATTTTGGCAAATCCATTGTTTCCCTCCCATGCCATCTCGAGCAAGGAGGACCTTGGTAAAAATGTAGACAGAGACCATAATATGTATTTGTTTTCTTCACAGTAGCCTGAGTAGTGCTAAACTGTAGTTCTCCAGGAACTCAGCTCCAGATGTTATTAAACTACTTCTCTTCTATCCCACCCACCCAAAAAAAAATCAAGTTATTTTGTTTGAAAATGAAAACTAAGTTTCAGAAGCAGAGCCTGTAATACTTTCAACAAGAGACTTATAAATTTGAGAGTTCAAAAACCTTGGAAAAGAGTCTCTGTGCATTAGGGTGTATATCTGGAGTTGGGCATCTTCATACATGTGAGGGCTGGGATCCAACAAGTTTCTGTTGATCACTTCTCTCACTCGGGAATCGAGACTAACCTGAAGAAGATGAGAACAGAGTAATATTAAACAGAAATATCAGAAAAGCTGTTTCAGGTATCTGTATTTCTCAGTGCTCCATTGAATAGGATGAGTTTGTAATTTTTTTCAGGTAATGCTAATGCTCTGTGCCTCCTTCAGAGCCACCAAACCATTACAGACTGAGGCCATTGACTCTAGTTCAGTTTGGCTTGGTGTCTACATCCATCTTAAAGGTCTGCAAGATGAAATGCGGCTGTAAAACAGAAAAAAATACAGTGCAACTAAAAGCTCTGTAGTAATTTCCCAAAATCTGTTCTTTTACCTTAAATTATATTTTTATATATTTCAAATTATTTCTCTGAAATGAACGTTGAATGACGCTCATTCAGAGAGCTGAATATTGTTTTCCTAACCATTTGTAGTTAAATCTTTAGAAGCTTTCCATCCAGCATTCTCATCTGGCTGCCCTACAGATTTTTTTCCTCCATTTTTTTTTAGGCACTACACTTACTACTCACAAATTACCCAGAGATTTTTATAATTTTAATTTCCCTATTAATATTAACTATTTCAGATGTTTTCTTCTTTTCAAGACTTTAACAACTTATAATTTCAGCATATCATATGTCTGCACTGAAGTTGGTAGCAAATTTCAATTTTAGCTTCTCATTTACTTTCAATTTGCAACCAGCTCCTGAGCCTAAGCAGAAAAGAGCATATTATGCCTGGGGTGAACACAGAGGTTATTTGAGAATATCATTTAGAAATATAAATGAATGTACAGCTTATCCACAAAATTCTCCAAAACCAGTAAAATGAATGCTTTCTGGATTATATTAAATGGTAGTAGCAGGAAAGCCCATTGAAGCCAGCAAGGATTTGTTCAGCCAAGAAGAAAAAGGCTAAAACACTGAGCAGAGAAATGCCAAGCACAGATCAGTTAAGCTGTGGTGATTTACACCAGGCTGCAATCTGACCCTACAACTCTGCAACCACATAAATAGATATTCACGTTGTCTGCAGGATTGATGTCTGCCCTGCAAAGCTCCACATACCTTGATATGTGAAGGATGCCGAGATGCAAACTCAGAACATACGTGGATGTGTGTGCTTCTGTATTGTTTTACCACATTTACAGTGGTAAAGCAATGCTTTTGGAATACAGCAGTATGCTATGGTACTGAGGAGTAAATACACATTTTCACTGTATCTTCAGTACCAACTGTAGAATCTGGTGTTGCTTGTTTGTTGGCATATTGGAGTATGTTACTGCCACAGCAGGCAAGCTCTTTCTCTTCCAGTGTTTGCTGCTGGTTGATTATCCGTCACAAGGCACCAGGGTGATGCAGGCTAACTGCAGTGCTAGCCAAGCGTAGCTGTCGCTCCAGTGCCCTCTCTCTGCAGAACATCCCTGACACCTGCTGAGTGCACGCTCCCCACCTAAGCGCTCACTGCTACGCCTGCAGGCAGCACCCCGGGGGTACCTCTGCTGTACACCTCCCTTTCGGATGGGCAGGGGTGGGTGCTGCGTCAGCTGCCATCAACAACCTCCCCCCTTTCCCAGCCTGGTGCTCCCCCTCCCCTGTGCTAGCGCAGCTCTCTGGGCAGCCCCACAGCTAGCTCAGTTAAGGGATCGATCCATCTGAAAGCAGCATTTCTTTTCTGGGCTGTTTTTCAACTCAGACATTTTTCTGATTGAATTCCTTGTGCAACTACCATAACTGCACAAGCAGACCAGACTGCAGAGCAGGAATGAACAGACTGGCCGGGCTGCTGGGTCAGTGACTACCTGCTTTTAGACAAAACAGCGTGTGGGGGTGTAGCATTGTGGCAGTTTTGAGAAACAGTGTTGCAGCCATCCGTCTTCAGAATCTGTCTGAATAGATTTCAATCCTAGATCATTGCATTTTGTGCCACAGAAATGACACACCAAGATTTAAGCAGTTCTCCCCCTGACACGAGTGGACACTCATATATCGTAGCAAAAACAGTTTGTGCAGCTAGCTAATAGTTTTTTCATTATCAAATACAATAGCTGGGATAAAAAGCTAAAAATGTGATGGGATAGGGGGGTTTTGTGCCATTGAATATAGCAAAAGTTAATTGCACTTACAGAATGAAAAAAAAAATAATTATGGAACTAATAATTTACACTGTAGTTTTTCAGTGATATACTAAAGCCAGATGACAAAACTAATAGGAATTACTAAAGGAATTTTCTTGCTAAACAGATGAGTACCAGGTATCTGTTTAGAACACTAAGACCTGCCTCAATAACTTCATTACTGAACAAATGATGCTAAATATTTCTGCTCTTGTGCCAGAAGATAACATCTGGAGTGGGATGCCTGGATGAACAAGACCTTTTCAGATCCCTTTCAGATCTAAAGCATTGCAAATAGTCCTTGTTTGCCTCATCAGATTTCCAGCAGGAGCAGCTGGATTGATGACATCCACACACATCCAGTGCATCAGTTTTGGGAGTAGTTTTGTTAAATCCTATGTCAAACAACACTTAGTGTTTGAATTTTTACTTCTGGTTGTCTTGGCTTAAAAAGACAACTGAGCATTCAGCACATACATGTAGGTACTAGAGATATTACATTATAAGAAAAACTGACTATTAGTTTGCTGTACTGGCAGTTAAAATAAAAAATAAATTGTTGGCTTCATTCATATGAATGAAATTGCAAATTACTACTGAATGCAGTGCGGAAGTAAAATGTAGGAAGCAAGGTCCACAATGAGCATAAATTAGCATAACGCCATTGAGTCAGATGCAATGCAGAGACAAGGCGAAGGAGCTGAAGGTACATGATTTGGCCTAAGAAAGATTCTTTTATAGTGCTTATATATTTCTCTATTCCAAAACATGGTTTGATAGGGGATGTTTTTTCTTTCCTCTGGGTGAAGATCATTACAGAATTTGTCTATTTCAGTTTAAGGGTTGAATCTTGTCTAATTTCCTAGGTCTTGTCAAACCTTTCATTAGAGAAAATGCATGGTTTCCATTCCTGGACACTCACACAGGAATAACCAGTGCAAATTTGGGTTTTCTCCTAGACAGCTGTTGCAACAGATAAATCTGTAACAAACTAGATTTAAATTCCTCATTTTTTCCCCAAAACCCATTTACATTACTTACTTCCTCTCTCTGGCAGGCACATAGTATTACTGAAGAAGCATACGTATTTCTCAGTCTTCTCCTACTGGAGTTTCTCAAGTCTTACAGAGACCTTTGAGGTGGGGTGGCCAGTGATGCTAAATGGCCCAAACCCTGTCTCTCTATTTTTTCTGCTCCTTCCTTTCCTGATTTAGTGTCCATACTAAAACTTCCATCTGACAGATCAGGCAGACTTTCAGACTGCTATCTGTCAATCCAGGGTGTAACACTTCGGCTCTGGAATAACAGAAAATGCAAATGTAACATTTGCAGCTTTACCTCTTTTGGTGATAGTATAGAAATGTAATCTTCATATATAAGTCTTGCTTTTTCTTCAATAACTTTCTTGTTCTGTTCTTTCTTTAGATCTTCACATGCAAGCCAGAAAAGCAGGTTCTCCTCACTATACTCTGTTCGAAGAAACTCTCTGAAAAGGTTCCTTCCAGCTGGTGTTTTCATCATCTTGTCAAAATTCTGAGCCCAAGACAAAATTTCATCTGCAGTAGGGTTTTGGCTGCAAAAGCAAAGTATCATTACAAATATGCTTCTATTTTTGTAACAGTGTTTTCATATATTCGTCCAAAAATTCTCCTTTGAACTACACTGTAGTCCAAAGTGAATCCTGGAAGCAACAAGCCTTCAGCAGCAACTGGGGAATTTAGTTCATGCTCCACTTGTGCATTCATTATCTCAATAGCCTATGAAACACGTTTAATGTTATGAGACATGCCCTTGACTTCCTACAAGTTTTCTACTACTGTTGTTAGACATCAGACTCAAAGACAAAATCCCACAACAGCACTGAATTCCTGCAGTGAAAGGAGATGTGTTTTCAGGAAGCTGGCAACAGACTCTCTTTCATGAAGGGTTTAGATGACACCTGATGTTCCTGCTTGCTTCTGATGGTGTTTGGCCAATCACTGGCTGCCACATGATTTGGTTCAGGCAGGACAAGAAAAACAAAAGGCTCTCAGCAGCTAAGAGCATACTAATGAGGCCCAACAAAATAGTAATTCAGAGAACTTTTTTAATTAGCATATTTTTCTGTGCTTGTACCTGAGGGTTGCTAAGCTTCCCTCTATTTGGTGCTATTGACCTGTATGATGATCTATTTGCACATGATGTGACGGATGTTGCTGGCAAAACTGGAGTGAGAAGAAATGGGAAAAAGCCCTTATTCCCATTTTTTGAAGGAAACTATTCATGGCTTGTAACAGTGGACGAACTGGATAAGTGATCACAAGACTAACGTGCATCACTAATACATAAATGTACCAATGAAAGTAGTACTCTACTGAGAAGGTAATACTCTGAGTTGCAATTACATACGGTTTCAAGCTTTATCCTGAGTGCTCACCCACCCATTACAGATAGGATCCAACACAAGAGCTTTACTAGCTGTTGTTAATAGCTTCTCTGTGACCATGATGCACAATAAGTGACATTTGTCTGTATGATTTCAAGTCCATTTATCAACTCCTACTACTCTTCATGCAAGGCAGATTGGAAGCTATTTGCAGTAGCTTTTCAGCAGTCTAGAAGATCTAATAAATGAAAAAGTGCTTAACATTTTAAACTGTCCAGGCAAATAATTGTAATCTGAACCAAGAAGTGTAAATATACAGATTTGAAGGTGAGAAGTCCTCTCTCTGATGAGAGTAAAAAAACTTTCTGAGCAACCTGTGCTCCCTTGTTGTTTTTGGGAAGCTCTCCTCACTACGTTATTTTGTGGAAATATCGGACATTGCTCTCTTATAAATGACCATGAGTAGCAATGAATACAATTAGCTGTTTAGGTTGCTTTTATCATCAATTATCCTCTGGAGCTAAGTTTTAATTTTCTTCTTGAGGGATTAGAGCCCTCAAGACCACTGATAGATTAGCATTTTTCCCAACACAATAAACATGTGCCCTAGTTTTAGACAGAAATAGAAGGGCAGACTTTCAGGGTATGTTACCCTGTTTCTCAAGATGCACGTTTCCTTGATCAATTCTGGTGAAACCATACCTTTATGAAAGGTAAGCATGTTAAAAATCTGGCTGTGAAGTACATGTATGCCTGTTATTTTTTCTTCTTGTCTGGATAAACAGAAGAAAATGAACCTACAGGTAGCAGAGGCTTCTTATGGAGACCCACAAGTCTATGGAACTCTCCATGCAACTCCTATTCCTCCCCACAGTTCTTCCCCACAAATAAAAACTTAAGTAAGCCCGTCTAATGAGTGTCGCTGCTGGCATTTCATTGTCAGGACAGATTTTGCTTCTATTTGTAGGTAGAATTTTTTTTGAGGAAAATAAATTAAAAGGACATTCTCAAAGCATAAAAACCTAGTCAATTCTTGATACTAGTTATAGCAAAAATCAAACACATTGACCAGACAACATTCTGATCAACTTACCATTCTTCTATGACTTGGATACTCTCCATTTTCGTCGTATGTGTTGGCCTTCCTGCATTGTCTCCTCTATCTTCATTCCTAACAGTGAGGCTGCAATGTAGTACAACACTTTATTTTGTCTAGAAAAAGTTAATTTAAAACAATGACTATAGTAATGCCATCTTTTAAAACATATAAACCTGTGTAAGGTGGATTTTTTTTGTTTGTTTTTTTTTTTATCTCTTGCCCCTAAAATTTTGAAGAGAAAATTTTGATAATGATTTTTCCCTTTAATTCTAATGAATATTAATTAACAGTTGCTAGTAGCATGTGTAATTTTTTTATAAGCTCACTGAAAGATGGACACAAAGGTCACTTTTGGAGTGATTTCATGTAGCAAATTGAGAATATTAGTAACAATAAGGGTAAGGGGAATAAGAGTATCTGAAGTGGACATTGATAAGGCTTTGGTGCATCACCATTCCTGAATAGTTGTTCATTCTCTATGAACGTTCCCTTTTTTCTCTCCAGGATATGGAAGCAGTAGATGGCTTAGGTATGGAACTTGGTGTGTGGCAGATCCTTATGATTTCCCCCTCTGATGTTAATTTGTTTTTAATTCCAAAAAAGTAAAACTTACTGGCCTCTCAACAGAAAGGCTTCCATTACCCTCATATTGCCATAAGCAACGAAAAGAAAGACTTCCTTTAGGTAATAAGTTTTAAAAAAAATATTTTTTGGTCTTTTTTGAGTTGGTAACTAACATCACTTATTTTTCCATAAATATCTTCTTAACTAGGTTTTCTTTAGTGGTATCGACATCTCCTGTGTGAATGTTCTGGAACATGTTATCATCCATGCAAAATGAGAAATTCCTGATAACTACTGAAATAAATCAAGTTTTCAGTTATGTAGCTATTTATATAGGAAACTTATGTCCAATAATTAAGCTTAAGAAGTAACACGTAGTAAGAAGATGGAGATTTTCTGTTATCACATGTTCCCTACATGTCCAGTTGACAGAAACCAGGCAAAAGATCCCCCCTCTCAATCCCAAGAGAGCTCATATTCTGAATACTGAGTATTCACCATAAAATGATGCTCTCATCATCCTGAGTGGCGATATACAAAAATGTGTTGGTAACATAAACTTATCCCTCCCCCACTAATCTGAGTAACTTCTGCTCAGCTCTAGGAAGAAATCTCAGCTTTGAGACATTTTTAGCACAAATAACCTTTCTTACTAGCCCCTCTGTATTTATGACTTTCTTCAACATTTTTTTCAAGATTTTGGCAGAGTTGGTAGGTGATCTCAAATGCTGTTCTGAAAACTGGAAGTTTAAGCTCCCAGGCAGCAGAGCACATATTAAGACTTAAACATTACAAAGACGTACACTTTCAAATGAAGCTCTTTGATACTGGTTGCTCCTTCACTTACCTGCCAAGACCTTAGTTCAGGCCTTTGGTCCTGCTTCCCCTGTTACAGCGTAGGAATGCAGCTCCAGTGCTGCTAAGGTGTTAGGTTGTCATCAACTGCTGCAGGAGAAACAACACATCCTGAACTCTGGGGTTGGCAGGTAAAAGCCTTTCCGTCTCCTCTGACCTGTTGCTTGTCAGTCTATGGAGGGAGCACCCAGGAAAGCCAATGGGAGTTCCATACACAGGAGGAGAAAAAAAAGAGGGACCATCCACTTTCTGTCTTGTAATCTTTAAGTCCACACATGTAACTGCTTAGGGTCACCTTGCATCTGGCCAGAGCACAAAGATGGGGTGAGGGAGAAGCAGGGAAGGCGCAAAACTTCTCTCTCCCCCTCCCTTCCTCCCTCCCTCCTTTGCAGTCCATAGGTAGAGCAGAATTTGTTTTCTCTGCTGGGTGCAAAGAAGTGTGTCCTTTGGTTCCATGGAAGAGTAACACCATGGAAGGAGGAAGCGGTTTGTGTAGGTTGGGAATGCGACAGAGTATTCACTTGAGTCCATCCAAAAGAGACTGAAGCTGCCTGTTTTCTTTCCTCCATCACACAAGGAGCAGCTAAGCTATACTGAGATAATTTCATTATTGGCTAGTAGATATCCAAGGTTTCAATGCACAGTCTTACTGGAAGCAGAAGTTGACTCATCTGAGAGCAGTTAATCTACACTGATAATTTAATTTGATGTCTGGGATCAAATACTGTTTGTTTTGCTCATGTAAAATCTCTGCTATACTTAGGAAAATGAACATGGGCTGCTGATGGTGGAATACAAGTAGTAAGTAAGAAAGAGGAATAGGAAAATGGACAAGAAAAGCCATGTTGATTTCGTTTTTGTATCAAAGGAGTAACTGATAGGCCCTATGCATTTTGATTTTCTACAAGACTCCATCTCAGTAAAAAGTTCAGACAGTGAACCCGGAACGTAGTGTGCAGTTTTCTGGTATCTGTACAAAATTGATAATGTGAGGTACACACTTGGCCCTAATTCCTTCATCTCACCATTCATAGCTGGAGTTCATTGGCTGAAGTTAGTCAGAGTTGCAAAACAGGGAAGACTCTAAAGAAAGAAGTGTTATACTCGGTTGGAAAAATTTCTCAGGTTTAGGTATTATATTTAAACTGTGCTAAATTTATAATACCCCTTGTCCTAAATTCTGCATTGTGTTTCCAATGACTTACACTAGCACTACATTTCTGCTTTTATTTATCTACATCTGTCAAGGCTGGAGTTCCATAAGATACATTACTTTTGATATGTTTTTCCTGTGAGAGAAACCATCATTTATATACAGAAATACATGCAATTCAGACATGTTCTGGTTTCACTCAAGGAACTGGTTGATGTACGCTTAGAAAAAAAAAATTTAAATATTTACACATTTGGGACTGCAAAGCTGTTTTGAAAGCAACCTTTAAATAACTCTGATCACAATAACAGATTTCTACCTTTTACCTCAAAATGGCAACACTGCATTGCTATGTTGCTACCTTTAGCTGGAAATACCCTACCTATTCACATTTCTCTGTGGAATTCAAGCAGTCCTCAGCAGCAAAGGCACCTTGCATACCTGGAATTGGTGTTCTTGATAACATTATCCCATTATGGAAGCTATCTGATTGTGTCAGAAGGATTATGCTGTGTAGTGTAGAACTAAACAGAGTAAAAGTAACAGGATAAAAATTAACATAATGATCTCACTTGTTAAAGCTGTAAGAAGAGGAAATTGTTGACATCCCTTATCAAAAAGTAATTGAATTGAAAGGAGGTGTTCTAGGGAGACATTTAATGTAAATTAACATATATAGTTCCATTATTATTTATTAGCTGGAGAACATCTAGCAGATAGCTTTAAAGTTTAGAGACATAAATTGCCCATGATAAAAGCACAACAAAACTACTAATGCCTTAAGAAGAGAGAGTTTGGGGTGTCTAAAGGTAGAGTTCAAGTGGAAAGGACAAGTTCTGTTTTGTTTTCTGTTCCTATAGAGCGTTAGTTCTGCTCACTTTTATGCTGATTTTATTGCTGTGGAGAGTATGATAAAAAGTACTCCAGTAAACCCAAGTGGCCTGAGCTCGATGCACCTTTCAAGTATATCATGGGTTCTTGACTTCTACAAACTCAATAGTTTCTTTAACTAATACAATGGTATTAGGAGTGATTTCTGTTTGGAGTGAGTACATTTCTATTTTGCAACTTCACAGACTTTATAAGTACAAATGTTAATGATCAGGGACTACTTGAAGGAGTAAACACATAAAACAAATGACCACACATAAATTTAAACTGGTCCAGGTTCCTAGCTGATGTGTTTTCAAAGGAACTACTGGGATTTAGAAAACCAATCTTTATTTATTTAGCTACTATTATTGGCTGTTAATATTCATGTTCAGCTATTAAATAATTATTCTATTGAGTAATTACTTAGCTAGATCAGTATTGCAGGCCACTGATGTAAGTTAAAATAGCCAAGATAATTGGATAAAATCATTAAGACAGTTGGACTAGTTTAAGGGCAAAAATCTCACTGACTCTTCCTCCAGGTGTTTCCAGCTGGTGGTTTTAAAGTTGCTTAGCATCCCTACTGCTGTACTTACCTTCTACTACCATTAAGAAACTGAAAATCATTTAGAGCTTGGACCTGATATTTCATGTTCTGTATATCCAGTAAACAAATAGTCTTTAGTTCTTCCCAAGGGTCAGATTGTTACATACCAGTAGCCTAAATCTGGTGAAGCAGTGAAATTACTGTTATCACCATGGCAAGAAAACTATGCCATTGTGACAGGTATTAAGATTGATATTCTGCCCATGTATGTCTGCATCTTGGCTGAAATTTGTAGATGCTAGGCCCTGCAGAGCAATGATTAGGTTTTAGGCTGAACCCATGTATACCACACAGTAGGGCCATGAGCCCTCTAGCTACCACTGTAACACAAAAACCTTCCTTTTTCCTGCCCAAATGCTACATGAAGTCAGTTGCACAACCATAATCTAGAGGCAGAATATGATTTTCAGATGAAAATAAATATCCAGTTAAGATCCCCTGGATAACATGTTCTGGCGTATTTCTCTCACTGATCTACCCTTTGAAAGAGTATGTCACTGGCACCACTGTTCACCCTATCCTACTCCTGGGAATTTTTTATATCATCAGACCAAGAGACAAAATATTTTGAGATCATATGTCCAAAAACAAAGAAGGAATTTTTTTTATGCTTAAGTCCAGCTTCCAGTGCAAGCAAGCTACAGGCCATACTGCCATAACTCAGATATAGTGATTTCATAGAAGTAGACCAATCATAGAATCACAGAATCATTTAGATTGGAACAGACCTTTAAGATCTTCAAGTCCGACCATTAACCTAACTCTGTCAAGTCCATTGCAAAACCATGTCCCTGAGCACCATATGTATACTACTTTTAACAATGTCCAGGGATGATGGGAGGCTTTCTTAAAAAACAAAAACAAAAACCAAACCAAAACAACAAAAAACAAACAAACAAAAAACAAAACAAAACAAAACAAACAAAAAACACACACACAAAAAAACCCAAAAAAACCAATTTCCTCCTCACCAAAAAAACCAAAAGAGATCAAAATTTAATTGTTATTTTAAGATTCCAGTGGTAGATGATG